GCCTCGCTCAAGAAGCTCTTCCCCTCCATCATCAGCATCATGTGGCCCATCCTATTCCTGGAGTATGAAGGCAAGTTCATCCAGGTGAGGAGGGGGCAGTGGGGAGCAGGGAGCCACTGGCAAGGGGGAGGGGGAGAGTTGCTTTGTGTCCAGGCTGGAGCCCCCCTGGCCTGGCCCTTCTCTGCCCACCCTCCACTTGCCCATTCAGCCCATCCCCCGTCCCTTTGCAGAGGTTCCAAAGGGAGCTCAGCACCAAGTGGATCCTGAACACAGTCAGCACCGGGGCTCACGTGCTGAAGGGCAAGATCCTGCGCAATTACATGGTGGACCTGCGAGTGAGCAACTCCAAGCTCTTCTGGAGGGCAGTCAGCATCCTGCAGGTACTGGGGGCAGGGGTATCCCAGAAGGCTCCCCTGCAGGGCCATGGAGCTAGTCGATGGGTGTCCACTTCCCAGGGTGAGGGCTGGCCAGCAGAGTGCCAGCAGAGTCTTGCTTTGGCAACAGCAGTGCCTGGTGCAGGGTCAGGCCAGCCGAGGTCTTCCGCTCAGTCCAGCTCCCTCCTTCTTCCAATTTCTAACACTGGGGAGGGGGCCTCTGAGACCCTGCCTATCTCCCAGATTTGCTTGTACTGTATCTCAATCATCCACTAAGATGCGTTGGGAAGCAATGGCGGGCTTTATCCTTGTGATCCTCTCAACAACCATCTTAGGGAGGCTACTCATGGAAAGACAGCGCCTGGTCCAAGGACGCCCATGAGCACCATCAGGGCAACATGGTGACATGAACCTGAGTGAAGTTTGCTCACATCACAGGGGCTCTGTGGGGCCACCACCCTGCGGGAAAAAGCATAGCTCAAGTCCCCACACTCAGGAGGGACCTGTGCCCTTTGCCACCCCCTGGCAGCCCCACCCAACTTCCCTCTCTCCCTCCAGAGGTTCTCGGGCCAGCCGCATGCCAAGTGCCTGGAAGGTCTCCTGCAAGCCATCTATGACCCTGAGCCGCTCTCTGAGGATCTCCGCACAGCTCCAGTCTCCAAGCACATTGCCGTAGCAACAGACAAGAGCAAGGTAGGCAGGTGTTCTCTCCCTCCCCCTCCCCCCCGCACCTGCCCATCCCACTTCATCTGGTCATCCCACATTTGTGCCATGACACAGGAGGTACAAGTCACACCACACACACCTCTTATTGCTGTTTATTTGTGGTCTACTGACCTTTCCATTCTCTGTCCCCATTGCTAAGAATGAACCACCTGTTTTAGTAAAAACAAAAAGATTTTACTTACTTACATTCAATACAGACAGCAAATAAATCAAAGTGGTATGCAGGTAAAAATACTTCTTAGTTGCAAAATGCAAATTTAGTTTCCAAAATGGAGTATGGGATCCCAGAAGAGCCCATATATGTGCATCTGCTCACATTGCTGGCTTGAAAGGAAAAGAGAAACTGGGGAAAGGAGGAAGAAAAGATTAAGATGCCCAAACCAATGGCTTCAAGTTACAAAAAAGGAGACACTGATTAAACATCAGAAAAAACTTTCTGACAGTGAGAGGTGTTTGACAGTGGAACCGACTCCCTCCTTCCTTGGAGGTTTTAAAGCAGAGGTTGGATGGCTGTCATGGGTGCTCTAGCTGAGATTCTTGCATTGCAAGGGGTTGGACTAGATGGCCCTTGGGGGCCCTTCCAACACTATGGTTCTAAGATCTTTTGTCCTATTTCCTGCCACAGGAAATGCAGGAATACAGGAACTCTGTATTCCTTAACCCTTTCATATGCTTATTAACAAACATAATGGTCAGTTTGACTGCAGATTTCCCCACATCTCTTCCATTTGCCCAGGTTGTACCCACAGCCCTGCTCTGCCTCCTGCGTAGCTGCTCGGTGCCAGAGGCCCGCGCCCGCCTGGATGCTGCTCCCTCCCTCCGAGCCGCCCTTGACACTGCGCTGAATGCTCCTGGAAGGAAGCGGGGGGCTGACAAGTCAGAACCTGATGAGCAGAGCACGTAGGGGGGGGACACTTCTTCCAAGGGGTCCCACAGCCTCAAGCCCCAGACGGTCTTCCAACGAGAGAGGCCGAGAGGCCTCGTCTGACACTGCCCTGCTGGTGCTGGCCTGTCTTCTCCCAGTGGGGAAAGGGGTGGAGGGAAGGGATGAGGAGGGATCTGGGATGAGAGCTACCGGAAGTGAGGCCAGGACAAGGATCCTGCTCTGCCAGGAAACAGGTTCTTCTTCCCTTTGGGAGATGGATCTGTACCTCTGGGGAATGTCCTTCTTTGCCCCCTGGCAGGGTGAGCCTTGCCCCCAAACGACTCCCTTGTCTCAGGAGCTGCCCTGCCATGCCATGCCCTGTCCTGCCCTTCCCCTCCATGCACCCCCGGCATTGGGCTGCCATGCTAAAGTGGGTGTCAGCCTTTCCTGCCAGCCCCTCCGATCTGTGCTTTCTCCTTGCCAGCTCACATCCCTGGCACTGCCACCTGTGCCCTCTTCTGCAAGGCTGGCTGCCTGGTGGACCATGGCGTGCTACTAGGGAGACAGGAAGGGCTTCAGATTCCCAGCCTGCCCTTCCACAGCCACCAGCACCCAGCTAGGCAGCGCAGACTGGGCGCCATCCACCTGCAGACTGAGCCCAAGCCAGGTGGGTCTTAGAGAGGCCTTCTCTAAGTCTCATGAAATGTCCTGGGGGACCTTGCAAGGCTCGCAGCAAATTGTCTGTGGTGCCTGTAGTCAGTATATGCTGGCAGTGTCATTGTGTGGCCTGGTAGGATGAGGTGAGCATGGCAGGTGGGTTGGGGGTAAAGGGACCTGGGTCCACCCTGCCCCCTTGAGCCCCTGCCCCTTTCTCTGTCTCAGTGCATGAGGTTGGCACAGCTCATTTCCTTCGTTTCTGCCCTGAAGCCTGAGGTTGACTGTGTCGCTCCTCCTGTCTTTGACGGGGAACCAGCTGGCGAGCTCTGGGCTCCTCTCTTTTTGTAATAAAAGATGTGTCTGTGCACTGGGTGTCCTGTTCTTGCTCGGTTTGGGGTGGGTGACTGGAGTGCTCAGGTTCTAGAAAAACATCCTGAACCACCCGCAAGGATCAGACTGTAACCTCTCTCCCCAAATACACACAACGTGCACACCATGAACTCTGAGGGCTCCACGTGGCAAAGGAATGCTTTCATAAGGCCTAGCTTGACCTCCCACTAGGATGGAGCATGTGCCCTGGGATGGCGTCACGGGTGGCCTTGACCACACCCCACCCCAGCCAGTATCCCTCTTTGGCTGGCCTGGAAAAGTGACCCTTGCTCCTGTGCATATGTACACAAAGGGTACATGTGGCTGCTGGGTGCACTTCTGCTGTTCAGGAAAGGGAGAGGGTGGAAGCTGTGGCCTTGAGCTCCTGTCAACAGGAAGTCAGCCATCCACCCACCCACATCTGATCATTCAGAATCATCAGAGGTGGTTCCTGCTGAGACAATGGCTGGTTTGAGGTTTTGAGAAGAAAGACACAGGGCTGTTTGATGGAGCCCGAAAAGAAACTGGTAGCCAATTGCACAGATTGAAAGTTGGCATGTGATTTGTCCTGCTGCCCCCAGATAGCAGTGTGGCTGCAGCATTCTAGCCCAAATGAAGTTTCTGAACTATCTTCATAAAATGCCATTACAGTGGTACCTCAGGTTACATACGCTTCAGGTTACAGACTCTACTAACCCAGAAATAGTACCTCGGGTTAAGAACTTTGCTTTAGGATGAGAACAGAAATCATGCAGCAGCGGCGCAGAAGCAGTGGGAGGCCCCATTAGCTAAAGTGGTGCTTCAGGTTAAGAACAGTTTCAGGTTAAGAACAGACCTCCAGAACGAATTAAGTTCTTTTTTTTAAATAAATTTTATTCAAAGTTATAACAAAACATATTTTCCAAAAACATATCCTTATTTCCCCCCCATTTTTCCTCCCCCCCATAAAACCCATCCCCCCACCCCACCCCCCCGACTTCCCTCAGTTCCAGTCTTTGGTTTCTCCAATAATGCTATTTTCTGCATGTTACAGAGTTGTATAGATCCTCCAACTGTTTAGCTTATTATTATCAGTAAAAATTTTGTGAATGTTTATTCAAAACCTGCCAAGGAGTCCAGTTCGCTTTGTTGCATCTTCAAATACTTTGTGAAAGGTTCCCATTCATCCTTAAAGTCACAGTTATCCTTATTTCATAGTTTATATGTCAATTTTGCCAGTTCTGCATAGTCCATCCATTTTTCTTGCCATGATTCTTTAGTTGGAGTTTCTTCAGTCTTCCATCCTTGTGCTACCAGAACTCTCGCTGTTGTCGCATACATGAAGATGTTTTTCAACTTTTTTGGCAGGTCTTTCCCTACAGAACGAATTAAGTTCTTAACCTGAGGTACCACTGTAGTGCAATTCATCCTTGAGGTAACCAGAAAGTGATTGACTGTGGTTGCCTCTGACTTCTCAGATACCGTGGTACCTCGGATTAAGTACTTAATTCGTTCCGGAGGCCCATGGTGTTGCGACATCTGCCAACATCTGGAGGGCCACCTGTGTTCCTCTTAACCTACAGTAACACATCTGGTTACAACTCGTGAACCTTGAGTCTTTGCATGGTTTAGGTTTGGCACTGGGGATGGGCAGGCAGGAATTCAATAAGCCAAGCATTTTCAAGTATGCAAATGCAATCCCCTGTATGGACAAGTCAAACCACTGGGTTAGCACTACCAAAGTGCCCCCCCCCAAGCCTGGGCAGTGCATATGTTGCCTTCTGCTGCCCAGATGACAGCCCCCCTCTCGGCCTCACTGATGAAGGTGTTGTTCCAGGTGCCATCCAACCATGTTGGGGACTCCACTCGGTATTTGTGTAGTGTTTACTCCTGAGCCTTTTCTTCTCTCATAGAATCAGAGAGTTGGAAGGACCCAAGGGTCATCTAGCCCAACCCCCTGCAATGCAGGAATCTCAGCTAAAGCATTCATGACAGGTGGCCAACCGACCTGTTTAAAAACCTTCATGGAAGGAAACTCCACCACTGGAAGATCTCTCCCAAGGCAGCAGATGTTTAGGATAAGAGTTTTCTTTCTCCTAGGTGGGCTGCTTTTCCAGGTGGACAAGCTCTTCTGCCCAACCAGAGGCTACTCAGGAGCAAGCCACATGGAAGTTAGGGTCAATGTGGGCGGTCGGTGCCCCCTGGGACTGGTATGGCAGGAGGGAGACAAGCGGTAGGGGGCGCCAGAGCCAAAGAGACTCCGCAGAACCAACTCAAACTAGTTTTGCCCTTCTCCGCTGAGTTCTCCGAGGGGGAAGGCAGACGCGGGCCGGCGGGCTGGAGACTCAGCTCAGCGGCCCAAAGGACCTCCCGGGTTACAAGCCCCGCTCTTCCCCGTCGGCGCCTCCTGTCGAACCGGAGCCCCGATCGGTCCCGAGCATCGTGCCTCCTCCTGGACGGGCCCGCCCGCCCGACACTTTTCTTTGTGTCCCCCAGAGCCTCTTGGGCCCGTCGTCTGGGGAGGCTCTCGGGCAGCTGGAAGGAGCCCCGCCTGCCTGCCCCGCCCCTCCCGGTCGCCAGGCGACCGACAACACATCGAGGGGCCTCTCCTCCGCCTCCTGGCTCTACTTTTTCGTGCGCCACGAAGGACCCTCCAGCGCAGCCAGCAAGTAGAGCCCCTTCTTGCCCGGGGACTGCCCCTTTCCGACTCTCCTGCGCCCGGGAGAGCCCTCCTCCACCCCCATTCCACCGGGAGCCTGGCCAAGAGCCGCTCACACTTTCGGTTCCTAACTTAGCAGAGGAACATTTTCCTTGAAGGGGGGGGGCGTTGGCAGCTTCCCGGCCCCCCTTTATTCCTCTGAACGGCCAATGCTCCCCGCTTCAACTGCTCAACAGCGGGGGGCTCTGCGCACGGAGCACGTGAGCGGCGGGTCCTACTCCGCTCCCCCGAGGGCCCTGGGTTAGTCGGGCTCCGCGGGGCAGCCGCTCCGCTCTTGGACGACTTCCAGCGCCCTTCTTTTCCTTCCTCCTCCAGGGCTCAGGATGCCTCGCAAGCGCCGGGGGAAGACGATGCCGCAGGCGCAGCCAGCTGGGACAGGACGCGCAGCCCCCGGGAGCGACGCCGAGGACTCCGGGGGCAGCCCGCCGCAGGAAGGCGCCTCGCCGCTGCAAGGGGAGCTGGAGCGCGTCTGCTGGGAGCTGGAGCGGCTGCGCGGGCGGAGGGCGCAGCTGCTGGCGCAGCACGAGCTCCTGGAGCGGGAGGCGCAGGAGCTGCGCGCCGAGAGCCGGGAGTTCCTGGACTACGTGGCCAAGCGGGCGCAGCGGCGGGAGGGGGCGGCCGTGTTGCTGGGCGACGAGAGCCGGCAGCTGCTGGCGCACATCCAGCACGAGCACCGGGAGCTCCTGGCCCGCTCCGCGGAGCAGGAGGCAGTGCTGCGCGCGGAGCTGCTCCGCCAGGAGGCCGAGCTGGCGCGGCTAAGCGCCGAGCTGGAGGAGCTGCGCGGGGTGCGCGCGCTGCAGCAGGAGCAGGCCGGCCGAGTGCGGGAGCTGCAGCGCGCGCAGGCGGCGGCCCGCAAGGAGCACGTGCAGCGGCGGCAGGAGGCGGCGGCGCGCTTCGCGCAAGCCAAGGCGGCGCAGGAACGCGAGGCGCGGGAGCGGGCGGCGCGCGTGGCCGGAGAAGCGCACCAGGTGGCCGCGCGGTGCCTGCTGGAGCACAGGCGGGAGGCACAGTGGCAGAACCGGGAGCTGAGGCAGGAGCTGGCGCGGCTGGTGGCGAGGGCGCGGGCGCTGCAGGCGCACAAGGACCGGCTGGAGGATCGCGTGCAGCGCTTGCGGCGGCAGCATGACTCGCTGCGGGATTTGGCCCTCCTGCGCCGCGGCGGCCCCGAAGGAAGAGAGCGACCGGCAGCGGGGACGCGCGGAGACGCAGGAGGGCGGGCGCCCCTTCTCCGCAGCGCAGGGCAGACAAGCTGCCTCCAGCCACGCAACTGCTGAGACGCTGACCAGGGTCCTGGCGGAGAGAACCTTAAGACGAGCCTACGAGGAGCCTGGTGGATCGGGCCAGTGGCTCAGCTAGTCCAGCCTCCTGTTCTCACGGGGGCCAACAAGATGCCTGTGGGAAACCTGCAAGCAGGATCCGAGCGGAAGAGCGCTGTCTCCTGTGGCTGCCAGCATCTGGAATCCAGCAGCATGGACTGTGGCCACAGGGTATAGCCTCCAGGCTGACTAGTAGCCATCGCTAGCCCTCTCCATGAGTTTGTCGAGTCCTCCTTTGAAGTCATCCCATCTGGTGGCCATCGCTGCCTCCTGTGGGAGGGAGTTCCATAGTCCAACTAATGCACTGCACTGAACCCATTTTAATCAGTTTTGCTTAACTGCTGTTGTTGTAATATTACTTAATGTGGTTTAATATCTTATTCTTTTCACACTTTGCAATTTTATTAGGTTGCTGCTTTACAAATTGCTTTGTAGAGGTGTGGTGAGTTGAGAAAGAAAAACTGTGAATAAAACAGGATGGGAGGCAAACTCTCATTCTGCAGGGACAGATGAGGGAAGCCATCTCAGTGGCCCTACTTAAGGGAGCCTCACGACTCAGGCTAAGAAAACCAGGACGTATGTTGGGGGTGCGGGCAGATCTTTGGTTGTGGTTCAGCAATGGTAAGGATCAGGGTCATGGCTTAGCTGGGCCCAGATAGTGCCCAGGTGCAGGATCTCCCTACATTCACTCCTACCTTGGCAATGTAGGATTTCTACCTGGAGATATTTTTATTTCAGGAGGGTTAGGGTTGCTGCTCAGCCACTGTTATGGACCAAGGAGGGGCACCCAACCAACTCCTCAGAAGCATTGGCATGCTATGCGTAAGGACTTGACACATCAGAGTTCCAGGACACAGGAGCTTGCCCTGCTACTGAGCAATACATGCACACACGACCACGGACTTATGTACGTTTCCATCTGTTATAGTACTGGGTTCCCAGGGTCATAATAAGGCAAGGAAACCCCATTTTCTGAAGCATAGAAATTCACTAAAATTAGTCAAATAGATGGTTTTATTTAGTTCAAAAAGGTGATACAAATTGTGATCCCAGGATGGAGGGGAAGGGACCTGACTCATGGCATGTGTGGAACAGGGACTCCATAATTCTCAAGATGTGACAACACATACTTAGGATACCCCTCCTAACTGCCAAACCAGATGTTAACAGCCCTGACAAAGGGACCAGACTAGTAATGGTCAGAGGGAAATGAGGCTCAGGACTAAATAAAAATGCCAAGGGATGCCTTCCTGACAAAGGGATATGTAAATACTTTCATTGACTTGTGGGGTGTGGGTACTTGAACTATGCAGGATAGACAGGGGCATGTCTGGTTCTCAAATTTCTATCTGACACCATGCCTTTTCTGTGACAAAAGAGGCCATTTGCCCTTTGTTCTGGACTTTGTTTTGTTTGGGAGTTGAAACCTTGTTGCAACAATAGACGATCAGGTTTCCTAGCTTCTGTTTTGCTTCAATTTGCCTGGCTGTGATCTCTTGCTTGAACCTGACCGATTCTGAACCCGCAGGGCTAGACCCTACCGAAGCTGGGAAACAGTTAAGTACCGTACCCCAAAATTTTGTCCTTATCAGTCCTTAAGTGTCATCAACTAAAGGCAGCCCCCATTTCCTAGACACACAGCTTGTGACTGGGGAAGGTGCAGGATGGGCTGTGTTTTAAGTGACAAGCTGTGACTCGGACTCATTAACCCCCTGTGGTTTCCTGTCTAAATGACAAAGGTATGATGGCCAGACAGGCACATGAAGGGCTGTATGAGACTTAAAAATGGAAAGCATAATGCTGGTGGTCAACAAAAGAGGTTTAAAGAATGTAGCATAAACACTAACAACTGGGAAACACTGGCCTGCGAGCGCTCCAGTCATCACCAAAGGTGTCATGGGCTTTGAAGACACTCAAACTCAGGATCCAAGGGAGAAACATGCTAAGAGGAAGGCACGCTTGGCAAATTCACACCATGATCAACTCCTGCCTGGAAACCAATGTCCCCACTGTGGAAGGACATGTGGATCCAGAATTGGCCTCCAAAGTCACTTACGGACTCATTGTTAAAACTGTGTTTATGGAAGACAATCTTACTCGGCTACGCGTGATCACCAAATAGAAGATGCGGTCACTTCCTTAACGCTTTGACAGGAATGTCTAACAAAGGATATAAAGTAAAGGTAAAGGGACCCCCTGACCATTAGGCCAAGTCATGACCGACTCTGGGGTTGCGGCGCTCATCTCGCTTTATTATGTAATTTCTTCCTGCCTGAGCTCTCTCACCCTCTCTTCTGTCAAGCCAGTGATGTGAGCAGACGTATAGTAGGGCTGCCATACATCTGGGTTCCCCAGACATATCTGGGATTTGTCCATCGGAAATAGTGTCCAGGCAGAATTTTCAAAAATGTGCAGGAAAACCTGGACGTATGACAACCCATGTCGGAAATGATGGGGGGGGGGATTTCGCACAACAAAAAATTGCATCCGGCTTTTTACTTGTTAAAATATGGCAACCCTAGTATATTCCTAGGCTCTGCTCAGAGCTCAGACTCCGTTTTAGAAACTAACTTTGTATTTTGTAACAAAGGTTTTTTTACCAGCATATTACTTTGATATATTTGTTGCCTGCATTCAAATGTCAGTAAACCTTTTGTTTATCTTACTAAAACGTGTGGTTCATTCTTAGCAAAGGGGATGGAGAGGGGAAAGGTCAGCAGACCACAAATAAACAGGGATAAAGAGACGTAATTGCCTAATTCCTAGATTACAGTAAGCTGCTGTCAGGGGCCTAAGTGCCTAAGTATTTTTACTCTGCTAAAGGGGCTTCACAGTATGTTTGCTCTCATATTGCTCCCCCACATGTGGGATAGGAGGTTTTGATTTTAATTTATGGATTTAATCCTCAATTAAACTCCCATCAGAAACAATATATTTATTTCCTGCTCAAAGTATCTGCACTCCAGTCCAAAGCAGTGGCGCTGAGGACTCGTCCAAGCCCAGTATGATGAGCATGCCTGTCTTGCACTGCCATCTTCTAGCCAGGCTGCTCACACAACAGCTTGAGCTCCTCATCTGACTTCTGTGTCTCAGGGGTGAGGATGGGGTTCTGGACCTCTCCTTGCAGCATCGAGGAACAGCGAAGCTCCTTGCAGCCAGCTGAGCTCCTGCATCTTGGCAGCGTCACATGGGGCAGGTCCGGGGGGGGGGGCGGGCCTCACCTGATGGTGCTTTGCAGGAGGGCCGACCTGGCCACAGACTCCTTCACCCTCCTGGGCACCCCCCACCGCTGATGCAGAAGCTTCTCGCGCAGGTGGAATTCGAAGTACTGCTTTTTGTCAGTCGTAAGAAATCTTTCACATCCTGGATTTGCTCTGGGACTGTTTGTGGAAAGGTCTGTTGCTCGTGGTGAACTAGTTTGCCCACCCAACCCCTCAGGGGTGTGAGGCATAGCTTTCCCCAGGAGGCTCGTGGGACAGGGCTTCAACGCAGCCCCCTGGTGGTGATGGTGGCAGCAGCAGCAGAATGCGGAGTGAGCACAACAAGGCCGCTCAGTCAGAGGGGGGCTCTCTTGGCGGCACTCCGGGGCCTGCTCCCCCCCACCTGTGATGGAAACCAAGGCTGGGGTCAGATCCCAAAGGACCAGATCCAGCCGGGTGGGATCCCGTTTGCTGGTTGGTGGAGGCAGCTCTCTTTGGGTATCTGTGATGGCCCAGGCAGTCCGAGGGGAATCCCCGGCCGGCTGAAGTGGGACCCAGACCCCTTCCTCAGGATTCATCTTCCCTTGGGCGGCTGCAGCAAGAGGACGCTTCTCTGCAGGAGGACATCCTTGGGCAAGGGGTGCCCGGCCCCAGCTTGGCTGCTGCCTCTTGCAGCGCTGGAGCTCCACGCTAGCACACGCCTCCCCAGGCAGGCTCCGAGCCCCGTCCGGGTGGGCTGTGGCTGAGGGCAGATGGACCTGGAGGAGCTCCAAGGTGGCCAGGCTGTTCCAGGGGCCATCCCCGCCCAGCTCCCGTTTCTCAGTCCCTGGAAGACCTTCCCACTGCTTCCCAGGCAGGCGTGCCAGTCCCGAGGCCAGTGGCAAAGGCTCCTGTGTCGCTTCTGGGCTCCACCAGCTTCTGCCGCCTTTGGCTGCCATGGTCGTGGCAGAACAAGCCAGTGCTGCCGAAACACTGTGTTGCTTTGGAGAGCTGCTCCCTTTCGAAGAGGGCCTCTCTTGCTGTGGGGCTGCCTGGGCCAGAGGTGTCCCGGGAGGGGGCAGCGGCCAGCAGAGGGCTTTGCAGACCCTCTTGGGGAGGCCCCACTTGCGATGCACCGCTCTCTCCCTCAGGTGGTGCTCCAGGCACTGCCGCCTCTCCACCTTGAAAAGGGGCCTCTGGTGGTCGGTGGCTGCCTGCGGGGCTGTGCATGCCAGGAAGCCCGGCAGGGCCGGCACAGACCTCTCCAGCGAGCTGTGCACCAGGCCAGGCAAGCCCCACAGCAGCTGCAGCCGCTTCCGTTGGAGGTGAGCTGTCAGCTGCTCTCGCACCTCCTGGCTGAGCAGCAGCGGGTCCAGCAATGGGGACTCCACCACTGTCCCGCTGCCCCGGCTTAGAGGGGGTGGGCAGAGGTTGGCCAGCTCGCTGGCTTGCCAGTCCTCGGGACCAGCCTCCAGTGACTGCATCCTAGCCCCCTCGCCCTGGCCGCGCTCTCAGGGCCACAGACCCCTGGCCAGGCCAGGGTCAGTCAAGATCAGCCAGCTCCACACAGCTGCCTTCAAGACAGGCAACGGAGGAAAGCAAAGGGTCAACACCTCTCTTGGTTTGGCACAGAAGATGCCTCTATTTCAGGGAGTTGCTGGTTTGGCTCCAGAGGCACTGAAAGGAGGCCTGCCCGATGGACCCTTTCTACCCCTCTGAAAGGATGGTGCTCAGAGAGCCAGGCCAGCAGCGGTTGTCCCCAACACACCAGCTACTCTCCCAGGCAATCCAGCTTGGACCAAATGACACCACCACCTCCTCCTCCTGCAGTTCCGTTTATCTTGTTGCTACAGCAACACATTGTGAGGTCAGCCTGGCACCCGGTGGGTGCAGCCACCTTCCCAGGACTGCCTCTCCTGACTGAGGGTCCTCAGGAACAGCAGGGCAAAAGGGCACCTCTCGTGGGAGACTCCAGGGGGCCTTGATGCGCCGGAAAACACGGGAGGGGCACCCACAGTTTTTTGAAAACTCAACACTCAGAAATGGGTACAGAAGAAAATCCATCCATCTTATCTACAAATCTATCTATAAGATGTGACATACAATCTGGAATTCATGTTATTGTTACACCTGGGTGTAATACTACCCAGGAAAACCAGGAAACTTCATACAATTCAATATGCTGTTCTGATTTATGTTATTAAACAAATCCAAATTACCCAGAGGATTATATAAAACTTTTATTCACAATTTTAGTAATCTCATGTAGCTAATTTTGGTTTTTTATAACTAATTTAATGTAAAAATTACCTTGGAATGTGTGAATGTTTGGCTATCGTAATATTTTCAGCGACGCTCCGTCTGCAGTGCCCAGTTTACTCCCGGGGGTTGGGACACAGCTCACCCCCTGCCCGGCGGAGGCCAGGAAAGAAGTCCCGCCTCTGGTGGCTCCTCACCTGGGGAGGACCAGAGTCCTTGATGTGCCTCCTCAGAAGTAAACCCTGCTGAGCATTGGGGGGAGGAGTGGGGCTCCTTCCCCAGTCAGTCCCTTGAGCAGCCAAGGCCGCCTGAGGGGGGCTGGAGGGCAGGGTGCAAGGAGGGGTGTGGCCAGAGGAATCCCCCCCACCCTGAGAGACCAGAGGGGGGCCGCTACTCCCTCCCTCTCCTGTGGCTGAGCTTCAGAGGGGGAGGGCCATCCTCCTCCTCCTCCTTCTCACAGCTCCCACTGGCCTTGAGGGGCTGCTGCTGCCCCTGCTCCCCCACTGCCTCCTGCCTGGGTGTGGCCTTCTTGGGGGAGGCAGCAGTCTGTGGCCTCTTCTTGCGGCTCCCGCTGGGCGGAGGCTTCCTGGGCGCTCTCTTCTGCTCCGCCTCCTCCGGCTGCTGCTGCTTCAGCAGCTTCTTGAAGCTCTTGGCAGTGTGTGTGCCAACGGCAAACCAGTCCTGGGGGTGGGGAGAGGCAGGAGGTGGGAGCGAGAGGAAGGGGGAGCGCCAGCACAAGCTGAGCCAGGCCAATGGCCACAGACCCCGGTGAGGGCGCGGGCACAGCGGAAAGGTCTGTGGCATTGGATTGGGTCCATGCGCACTCCTGCAGCCCCCTTGCTCCTCACCTGCGCATGCACAGTGTTGATGTGGTACTTGACTCCGCTCTCAGACACAAACTCCTTCTCACACAGCAGGCACCGGTATCTCCCAGCCACAAACTCCCCCTGCAGTGAGACGGAAATGTGGCCTAGAATCTCTGGCAGCAAGAACTTGAGGAAGACAGCAGGGAGGGGGAGGAGGAGGGGGAAAGGGGAAGGAGGAGGGTCCCGGTCCCCCCCCCCCGATTTTAAGCGCAAGTGCCTCGTCCCTGTGAAGGGAGGGATCTGCCAGTTGGGGCGCAGAGATGGTGATGGTGAATCCATGTCTGCCTCCAGGGGTGGTTTGGCAATGGCAGGCAGCAGCAGAAGCCCCCCAAGCACACACATCCTGGAGCCCTAAGGAGAGGCTGGCACATACCAAGGTGCAGCTGCCCAGGTGGGACTTGAGGCCCGAGATGCTGCTGTAGACACACTCACAGCCCTGTGGTGGAAGGCGAGAGTCAGGAAAGGGCGGTCAGTGGCCCTCCCCACCCAGGAACGCCCCAGAGATGGAGGGGAAATCCAGAGGCTCCTGGCAGCAACAGCTCTTAGTCTCCTCTCAGATACTTGGGGGCTCTCCCCACTCTGCACCTCTGTGATGCAAAAGGGCAGAGGGAGGGGCCTCCAGATTATTCCATGGGAAGCTGAACACCAAGGAAGAGCCCCCCAAAGCCTCCGCTGCAAGTGTTTGGGGCAAGGAGAAAGGAGCTCTGCTGCCCTTGTCCAGTCAGGGGAGTTGGTGGCATCCCCCAAGCTTTGCCCAGCCGTCCCGTTACCTGGTTTGGGCAGCGGACCCGTCGGCATGCCTTGATCTCTGCCCTCCACTTGCTCAGAACCTCCTGGCTGACAGCAGGCAGTCCTGGGCGGGTGTATTTCAGCTGAGGAAGAGAAGAGAGCAGAGCCGGAAGGCAGAGTGAGGAGCAGGGGCTGCTGCCTTCAGCTACTCCCACAGCAGCGCCCCCCCCCCCGTGCCCTAGCCGACTGGGGCACCCAGCTAACCAGGGGCAAAGCACCCTGACTCCTGAGCCCCAGGGACACCCCCTTCCTTGAGAGCCCAGCCAGCCTCTTCTGCTTCTCGGGTTCCTGGCCCCTGGGGGAAGTGCAAGCATTTGCACCTGTACTTTGACAAGACTTCAACTCCATTCCAGTGTTAGACAAAACGTCAAGCCTTAAAATAGCTGTTACTACAAAATCTCAGCAAAATCCCGTAGTAACAAGCCAAGCTACTGCTAAGCGTCTTGCTCTGCTTTCCTTTGGACCCCATCAGCAAGGCTGAGAGGGGGGGGGTCTTGTTGTCTGGGCAGCCCAGGACCTCCAGGCTTGAACCGAGGAGCTCACTTCACTGCTGCTAATGCAGTAGTTTGACTTCACCCCTGGAAGTGCACTCCATTGTCTCTCGAGATGGATAGATGACAACAATAGTAACAAAAAAAATCAACCTGACCAAGAGAGCAGGCTGGGTAGGCCTCCTGAGGCGGGGGCTTCTACAACGTGGGCCCCCCCCATTGCAAAAGACCCTGCTCCTCGGGAGAAAGCGCTCCCTTGCTGCATCCTGGCCTCTGAGAAACCTTGAGGTCAACCAGGACTCTTCTTGCTCCCAGGGCCAAATGGATTCTGAGGAAACGGCCGCACCTTCCGGTCCTCGGGAACCAGGTCCTGCCAGACCTTCCGCCTGGGCCACTCCTTGGCCAGGGCCTCCTGCAGGGCCTCCTGCAGGTGGGCGGCTGCCTGGGCAGACTTCCTCAGAGCACGGCGGCCTCCACTGCTGGGCTCTGCGCTTGCCACCTCCTTCTGGGGGGCCGGCTGGATGTCCTGGCCCAGCAAGGAGATCTGACAGGAAGGACACAGGGAGTGATGCTCAGAAAGGGCCACCAAAATGAGCATGGGGAGGAGGAAAGGCTGCAGCAATTGGGACTTTTCAGTTTAGAGAAAAGGCGAGGAAGAGGGACATGGAACGAGTTCGTAAAATTATGCAAAGCCTAGAGAAAGTGGATAGAGAAATGTTTTTTTTCTCCCTCTCTCACAACGCTGGAGTTTGTGGACATTCCATGAAGCCGAAGACTAAAAGGACAGTAAAACTAAAAGTGCAAACCGTGGAACTCCCTCCCACAGGAGGCAGCAATGGCCACCAACGTGGGTGGCTTTAAAAGAGGAACAGACAGATTTACGGAGGGCTGGGCTTTTGATGGCTCACCTCCAGTCAAGAGGCAGCAATGCTTCTGCAGGCCAGTGGCCAGAAAGCGCAGCAGGAGAGGCCCAGGGCTCTTGGGCTCAGATCCTCCTTGCTGGTTTCCCACAGGCATCTGGCTGGCCCCTGTGAGAACAGGATGCTGGACTGGGTGGGCCATCAGCCTGATCTAGAGGTTCCTCTTGGTTCTTAGGTTCTGGCCAACGCCTGCCACTGCCAGAAAGGGGTAGCAAAGGCTCTCTGCAGGTGACAATGCCCGGCCCTGTAAGAGGAGGAGGGGGCCTCCAGTGGCTTCTCTGGGCGTTGCCCCGCCCCCTCTTCCACCTGCCTGTCAGTCAGGAACAGGGGCTTCCTCTGCAGAGATGGGGAGAGGTCCCGCCCCTCTTTGCTCCTCACTGGCAACTCACCGGGCCATGCTCCATCTTCAGGTGGTAAGCGAGGCCCGCCTTGGAGCGGTAGGCTTTGCCGCAGTGCTGGCACTTCAGAGCCATCTGCTCCAGCTCGGCAGCCTCCTTCCCGCACTTCCGCGTGTGGTAGAGGAAGCCCAGGACGCTGGTAAAGCTGCCTGTGCAGCCCTGGGGGAGGAGAGGGGGGCAGAGAGGAGCACAGGCTCCCAGGAAGGAGGGAAGCCAACTGGGGGGGGGGGAGCTTCTGCGTCTCCCCTCCACCACCAGCTGGAAGGTGGCGAGTCAGCCCTGCATTCACCGAGAGGAGCCTGAGGCGGTCCGAGGCCCCTGCCCCAGCCTGGCCCAGGCCGCTCTGGTTCCCCGGAAGGCCAGAGGCTGCTCCATCTCACCTGCCTTTGGGCACTTGAGCTTCCCCATCCGCTTCAGCACCCTCCGCAAGCGCTCTCTCTCGCCCAGATCGCAGGCCGCCTCCTCTGTCCCCACCGGCTGCGTAAACGGGAAGGGAAAGGCTGGCCAGGGACGCTCCAAACCGAGCCATTCAGATTCCCACTAAAGCCCAGGAAGAACTTTCTGGAGGCAAGAGCCGTTTGAGAGTGAAACGGGCTCCCTGGGAAGGTGGTGGACTCTCCTTCCTTGGAGATTTTCCATCAGAGGTGGCCCCCTGCCCAGAATGATGCAGTTGTGATTTCTGTGTTGCAGGGGTTGGACTAGATGACCCTTGGGTATCTCTTCCAACTCTATGATTCTGTGCTTGCAGGTGACCCAAGGCCAAAGGCCCAGGAAGACCTGCTGGGGCTGAACTGTCGCCGTGTCGGGAGTCAAGGCAGGCTGGGTCCGGCCAGAGGCTCCCCAGAGGGCTCTGAACAAGGATGTACAGGCAGGCA